CAGCCACCCTCAGCTGTGCAAGGACGAGGGGGTGAAGATTGTGGTGACCGATCACGGCGAGGGGGATCACACCGACTTCATTATGAGCGCCAGAGGGTTTGTGAAGTTGGCCAGGCCCAACATGGCCCGTGAGCTCATGGCTTATGGGGTCATTGATGTTGAGTATCGGAGGTAATTAACGAGTTTTAATTTGCCGAGGACTAATAAATTAAATAATTACGTGATTAGTCCTTTTTCATGCAGGTAAATTAATTACCAAGGGCAAAAAGTTAATAATTACGTGATTCCCGCGCGTGGCATCTCAATCTAACTTGAAAAAAAATAATACGTTTGGAGTCAAGAGCATATATATATATATATATAATCATGCTAATGAAATATATAGTTCAAAAAGTATAATATCATGTTTCCTTCTATATATTGATCGCAGGATCTCATGCCAGTATCCAGGATACAACATGATGCTGAAGATCAAAGAGCACAGCAAGTTCCCAGATTACTTAGCATTAATCCTCATTTACCAAGCGGGCAACAAGGATATCACTGCGGTCCAAATGTGGCAGGTGAAGTTAAAGCTTGATTAATTAATTTGTCCAACGATCTCGATCAAAAACCTTAATCAATTACTATCTAAAATGAGATTAATTAACTTAAAACAGAGGCCATCCGTTGTACGTTATTTGTATTTACACGTGCACGCGCTGAAATATCTAGTTGGTGCGTGTAAACCAAATCTCAAAAAACTAACCACGAATCATGGTGGATGTTATACTAATAAGAATTGCTTATGATTTGAACATGCATAGTTGATAGTTGGTGCTCCGTGTTTTCATAACTACATCCAAATTAATTTCAATACAATTAATGTTCGGTTAGACTTTGTTTCGGCAATAATTAAAGATGTTGCAAAAGCAAGAGATACGATAATAAACTAGAAGACGTTGTGTTCAAATTGGAGAGCACACTGAGAGTTGAAACTGCATAATGTTATATATGTGTTTGACCTTCCAACTACTTCTAACCAAACACACGTGCACTCATGGAACAGGAGGAGTGCAAAGAATGGAAGGCGATGCGACGAGCCTACGGCGGAGTATGGGACATCGTCACGCCCCCAAGGGGCCCAATAAACGTCAGGGTGCTGACAGAGAGCGAGAATGAGGGCCAGAATTGGGTGCGGCTCGACGGAGTAATCCCTTACTATTGGGAAGCTGGCCTTATCTATGACACCACGGTTCAGCTTGCTTAGTTAATTGTTAACGTTCAGCTATATTTATCTGAGTGGGTTGCTTTTGCTTGGAATAAAATTAAGCCAGCTTTTAACACGCGATGATTAGAGTTTGTGTTTGCTCGTACGAAGCGTTTGTGTTGGCGTGATGATGGATTAGTACCTTGTTCAATTATATACAAATAATACACTTTCCGCATACCTAATTTGTGTCCCCGTCAAGTTTTTTTTTTTTTTTTTTTTTTTAAACGTTTTTTTTTTTTTTATTTATTGAAACTTGATAGGAGCTACTGCTCATCATTGAAACGAACACCCCAGATTCTTGCATTTAACTTGTGTGATGTGATAGTCAGTTAATTTGGCGAGGCGAATCTGAGACTTCCATGACTCCAGAAACTTTTCCGAGTCACCCGTCACGATTGACAATTTGCAATTTAAAACAAACTTTGGTTTAAGATCAACGTAAAACAAGTCTACTGCCGCACGTACTGCAGAATCTTAACAAAACGCAGGGGGGTTTGTGACGTGACGTAGCATCGCCTCGCAACAACGCGGAGTTAATTGGTGAAAAGCAAGGAACCATTTCGTTAATCAGAATGAGCAAGAAGATACATCAAACTGTTATATAAGAACCTAATACTACCACGTACCAAAATTTATACAATAAACAAGGAAAGCGTGGTCATTTAGTAAAAAGCCCGATCGGCCGAGGCAATATGCAACCAAAACCAAGTAGAGAGAGCAGCTATTTCGGCCTAATCAGTAGCGTTTCGGATTAATATCTGTAGTCACCGTATCGTCCCAATCCAGAGCCATATCCACCATATTCTGAAGCGAGGGATGAGGATGAGTATGCTGAACTTGCTAGATGAGAATATGATGATGACCTTAGTCCCGTATCTAGACCTCCATAACCGCTAACTGCTGGTTCTTTATGTCCCGACATAAAATCCTGTTTATGAAGGGGGAAAAAAGACTGATATAATTATTTAAACTTGCATTAAAGAGCAGTATCCATCTCCAAGAAGCCATCTTATAAATACTAGGGTTGTTTGCACGTAAATCCCACGAGGTATTGTTGTTTTGAGCTTATTATCCATGTAGTCTCATTTTTGCAGATAGCCTAGGTGAAATAATTTTCGACTCTTTTACCCTGATGGCATCAGTGCGACCCATCTGAGGGTTAGTCAAAAAAACAAATTTAACTCGGGGGGCCTATCTGTCAAAGTAAAACTACAGCGATAACAAGTTCAAAACAGCGATACTCAATACTACAGGGGGCATATGCACAATTAGCCCTAAATACTAACATAGGAGTCTGACATACCTGAATGAGCTGTTGAGCAGCCTGAACTTGAGTAGAAGAGCCTTTGATCTCAACTGTGATCTCATCATGCAAGCCTCCACTCTCCTGAACAGTAAGGACAGCTCCACTTGTGCGACGGATGTATGCAATGTTTGCTCCACCGATGCCGATGATGTCCTCTGCATATGATATTGGAATCTGCATTGTTTGCACAACCTGAATCCAAAAACAGTTTTTAGATGTTGAGGAGACAACTAGACGAATACAAGCATAACAAATCAACAACCTGAATCCAAAAACAGTTTTTAGATGTTGAGGAGACAACTAGACGAATACAAGCATAACAAATCAAGTAATTAGGTTCTAAATGATTCGTTAGATGTTGAGGAGACAACTAGACGAATACAAGCATAACAAATCAAGTAATTAGGTTCTAAATGATTCGTTCATGATGAATGGCTAGACAAAGATTGTTTACAAGCAATGGATTCATTAGTTCTCTTTAAGTCTAGGTAGTGTTTTGCTGTGAAAAAAGGATAAATAAAAGTAAGAAACACAACAAAGACAGGGCAACATTTTGGTATGATATATTTGAGATATTGAAATAACATGTTCACAAAGAAATACATAACCGTTATTGCATGATGTTACTAGGGTAAATTACACGACTCCCCTCTCATCTATAACTTCAGTGGCACCAAACCCACTCAACTCATTTACTAGCAACTGAGGACCCCTTAGAAAGGTAAATTGCAAGAAACAATCCTCTTCCTTGTGAATTGCTTCCTTGTGAATTGAGGGGGTTTAATGCGACTGAAGATATGATGAGAGGGCAAGGGGGTTATGCCCAACATGCCCTGATTTCTAAATCAACATGATTGTGCATTACTAAAACAACATCCTTGAGACAGACTAAATTAACCACCAAAGCAATACAAACAAAATCCTAAAAATTGGTAGGATATAGACTGGCAGACAGAAACAAACCTGAGTAACTAAAGCGGCAGCACTCCGCCCTAATCCTGTGGAATGCAGTCCAGAAAGAGGAGGTTCCTGCCGATAAAGTGACGACAGTGCACCTGAACGTTGGATTTGTGAATCTAAATGAGAATCGTGCTCCAGATACAGAGAATCACGCTTCAATGGGAATGAATAATCACTGCCCATGCCAGACTGCTGAGCAGTATGTATCAATGATGGAGCTTGATCACTCCAAGGAGCTGCTACAGGAGCTTGAGCTTGAACAAGTGATGCATTGGGCTGCGGCTTGAGCAAAACAGACAACGGCAACAATCAATATAAAGTTACCAAAGAACAGGAAATGAAGAAAAAGGAGACTTACACTTTTTTCAAATAAGGGAAGAATACTATGATCAACCAAAAATTTCCGCAAATGACCAACCACAACTTCAAGAGCCTTAAGAACCTTCAAGGGTTCACCTTGAATGTCGACTACTCTTTCTTCCTCGGTAACATAAAAGGGGAGCTCATCTAACAGAAAAGGCAACAGGAAAAGTTAGTTTTGTGAATGTCTTTCAAAACCCAAAAAGGGGAGCTCATCTAACAGAAAAGGCAACAGGAAAAGTTAGTTTTGTGAATGTCTTTCAAAACCCAAATACAGACATGGCTACCAGTCTGGATGCTCAGAGAAGAAATTTTCACAATGACAGGCACAGAGTTTCTAAACTAGTTAATAGCTAGATGTCAAGTGTTCAAAATTGTTACTGCTTGACAATCCGTTCTCATGAGTCCATAAAAATCGCAATGATCTGTTATTTTCCCCAGCTGCAACGTACAAAAATTGAAGGTCTCATGGCAAAAGCATACAAGTAGGTAATACATTCTAAAGCACCAGTTTGCAGCGGAGCTTGCGTACCCCTATTTAAAGAGGAAACAAATATTATCCTCTCATAGTGATAAATAGGATACAGATCATACTGCCATGTAGTACCTTGAGCATGCAACACCATGTGGTATGCAAATTAAGGCCACAGAAGCCAAGCTCTGAGCAAGTGAAATGGCTGTGGACAATGGAAGGTCCTAAATGGCCCCAATATTCCTTTAGTATTGTAATCTAGATAGCCTCAAGATAATATACAATTCATTAAAAATGAAATACCCTTCTTACTAATTGGTCGCATCATAACTACATACTCCTTGATGTGCATTTATGATTTGAATAGTGATAAATGTACTACAAAATTTATACTGCTTTTGTGCTCTCACAAACAAACAAGTAAGAAACAAGTAAGTTCCATGATGACACACAATTTTTCTTGACAATTTCCAAGAAAGGACTCCACACATTTGTTAGTGATTAGTACAAGAATAGTATGAAACTAGTACTACAAATATCATTTTCCTTATGTTTTAGGCTTAGATTGTTCAATACCAATTATTAGACTATATTCACCCATAGTAAGCTAAATTTTGAGTGAATTTTTTATGTTGCCATTCATTTCTTGGTTGCAACTGTAAAACCTTACCTTAGAAACTACAATATTAGTACAGCTTGGTCATAAATAAATAAAAAAGAACCATAGAACTGGAGAAAATAAAAGGTCCTTGAAGCATGGAGTTGGATACACTAAACTCACTAGGAGACGAACAATGAAACATCACTAATAGAGAATAAGCAGGTTCTGATAGAAAAAGGTAATATCTGAGTAAAGTATTATTCGTTTAAAAAGAGGGGAAGATTTGCAGAGAAGGAGCAATTTTCTCGATATGTAGATTGTACTATCTCTTCAAGTAAAATGGTAAGAAAAACGTAAGAAACAGAGCAGAACCTTTAATTCATAGTCAGAAAGAAACAGCCAAATTTTGATCAATAATCAGGATTATTGAGTAACGAGATTTATGCTAATAGCATTGGCACTGTCACGTTAGGTTGCCTTAGATAAGCAATTTGGGTAGGCTTAGATTTCATAGTAATAGGTAACGGGTTTAAAACTAACATCCAGTTTGTTTCCAGGTTATCAGACAAGTATTATGCATAAGACATTTATCAGTTACTAAATCATGCAACTTAAGACATGAACCCCACAAAATGCTCCAACATACTGGTTTAGGGCTAATGCAGAAAGTTAGTTACATCGTTAAGATAAGATACATGCCGAGAACTTCTGGTTAACAGGTAAACACTTGACATGTAGCTTTGGATAAACTAAAAGCAATATCTTAGTCAGAAGGGCTAAACAAACCTTCACCAAGAGGGTCAAACGCTCGTAAAAGCATCATCTCAGACTTCAAAGTATTTAGAGTTGTCCAAATTCTAAAAGAAAATCAATTGCATACTGCATCCTGAGATACCTCATACGTGTAAATGCATGTGTTTGCACACTTGATGGTGTAGAACTACCAATAGCCTGCCAATGCAGGGCATTCGCGTACCATCAATTACTAGCAATTATGACTTTTTAGGATCTTTTTGATTTAGTAGTATTTTATGCAATCTTTTACTTTTAGGTAGCATTTATTTAGGATTTAATTTTTATTTGGTTTAACATTACATCTTTCTATTTGGTAGGATTAGACTTAATCAGGATGTGCTTTAACCATTTGATCAGGATTTGCTTTTCCCTAATTTTCCTTATAAATAAGATTGGAGCCTTCATTTGAAGTCGACTTTGATAAATAAAATTGTGAGAATCAGGCTTATTGAGGCGCGCGCCTCAGGCGCGCCCCGGGTGCGGGGCGCTTCGGCCTGGGGGAAATGCGCCCCGCACGCGAGGCGGGGCGTTGCACGCAGCTAGGCGCGCGCCTCGCGTGCGCCTCACTTGCGCCTAGCTCGCGCCTCGCGTGCGCCTCACGTGCGCCTCACACCTGCGTTATGTAACATACTCTTTCTTCTATTTTTTTAAATAATTTACATAATTACATATTTATATCATGTAATATACTCTTTCTTACTAGTTGCTAATCTATTTTCATCTTTTCATGTTTAACCTATAAAAAGGAAACAATAATTAGTAATTTAGTATACTTGTTTGCTAATTGTAACTTTATTCTCTAATTAGCATGCTAACTAACAAATTATAAACATGTAAATATGTAATTGTTACATTCATTCTTCATCTTTTCATGCTAAGTAGCAAATATCAATTAAGAATACTAACTAGAAAATTATGAACAGTCATGTTTGTTAATTATATTTCTTAGTCTTTTATGTGACAATTTATAAACATATGCTCATAATTGTTAATCACTTAATTTGATGATTTAAATACATGTTTCTTGTATCTTTTTTATTACTTTAAAAATTCAGATAGCATAATTTGATGATTTAAGTTGATATTCTCATAATTTTGGATGTAGGTAACTAATATGTTGCTTATATGTTTCTGTCTTATGATATTGGCAAATATTAGTTTGAGTTATGCGCCTCAATTAGTGAGGCGCGCGCCTCGTTGTGCGTTCTGCGCATGGTGCGCGTAAGGGACCTTTGCGCCCCGCATTGCGCTTTGCGCCTCGATAACACTGGTGAGAATTGAAATCTTCTTGCGAGCATGTGACACTGTTCTGTTTGTTGGTTGCGGAGTGTCCTTGGGTGTGAAGCCAACTATCTTTAATCCCCTCTTTAAATCTTAGACCTCCAATCAACTTTCATCTAATTGTAACCTTAATCAAATACACCTTATTCTAAATTAATCATAAAAACCCTCAAACTTTCAGACTCTACCCGAACTCCTAATGTGGACAGTAACTTCGTGATAACTAATTACGGTTCATCACCTTCAACCTCTTACCTCACATGTGAACCCAAACAACAATCACCTACAAGTGCTCCCAAAAAACTTTTAGTTAGGAAGGATGACGGAAGCGAGCTAAGAGGATAGACATTGTAGTAAAGCTTGGAAACTTCGTTACAGATTCAACTCCTCTCAGCTTCACCGAGCAATGACAACAATCACATCCAATCCTGCCGAAGTGCCCTTCTCCACTGCCGAAGATCCCGTTCACACACAATACTGATATGCACCTTGATATTCTAAGGCACGCCTTCATTAATAAAACTTAGAATTTTGAAATTTTTTTGTTCTTGTGATGTGCACTTCTTTGTTCATGTGAAGTGCAATTTTTCATATTAGTTGTGATTTGCTAAGACTAGATATGTAACATAGGGATGTCAACCCGAAGTTATTTTTATTTTCATTTTCAATCCAATTTAACTGCAAGATCCACCTTTTCACTCAATCCTAGTTATTCATTCTCTACCAAAAAAAAACTGCCCACACCCCACACAAAAGAAATATATGCTGGTTTTTCCAGCCAACAACAACAACAACAACAACAATACAACAACAAAAGGAGCTCATGTTCAAACCTTCTCCCAAAACACGAACACCAAAAAGTTATCATTCATTCCCAAGTTGGAGATCACTTAAAGGATAGAAATTAAGGTACATAACTAATATAAAGGAATCTTATAGTAAGCCTGAGAGTTGCAAATAGATACAAGATCAAAATAAGAACCACCATTGTGGCGGTACCAATATCTTGTGAAAACTTCTGTTGTGATGCCCGTGGTTGTGACGGACGTTGTTTTTTCTAGTCTCTCCATGCTTAGAGCTCTAACCTGCTCAATGAGTATCCCACCTGATTTTAAAATATTTATGAAATTATAATGGTCTGTCTATTCATTCCATGCTCAATTGCACAATATCTAGTCCTTAACTAGTTAATTGAACAACAGGAAAGAAATCGCATTCACAAAAGGTGAATATTTTAGAATGAATTACTGAATTAAATATATGCAAATGCTCTATGCAGCACTAACAAATGCTAAAAACTCTTTCCTGACCACCAGACCTAACATGACTTTTGACAAAGAGTTTTTACTAAGAGATGCAATAAATCACACTAAGCTTCTAAACTCTCAAGATGTACACTGTAAAGATCTAATTATTAGAACAATGGTCGCAGTATGGCAAGAAAGATATAACATGCATTCATGAATCGAATTTGACACAAGAAACAAGTAACATAACATATAAAAATGAAAGAAGATAGCCCGTACCGAACCTCTGTGATTGGTAAAACCGTAAAAGAAATGCCAATAGCATCTCCCATAAGTTTGTGAGCAAACTGAACAAATAAAAGTTGCCCTTAAGTAGATATCTTAATGTACGTACCTCCTGTAATAACTCGTATTATCGCACCACTATTCACTTGAAACGATTTAATTGAAGTCCCTTGTTTTCCAATCAAGTTAATAGCTTGAGATGCTGGCACCAACAACCGAACTGAACATGTTGCAGGGGTGGAGGATTCTTGAGGTGCACCGTCAGCTCCAGTATCTGAGACACCACTAACACGTTTGAATACTTTTAGCACAGCATTCATTGCAGGAGACGAATCTGCTTCTGGATCTTCTTTTCCATGAATCAGAACCTAAAAGGAAGAAGAACCTCAGAGATGGTACAACAAAGATATCATAATACTAGCTAAATTCCAGAAGATGAAGCATAGATATAATGTTGCCCTTTAATAGCTTAATGCACTAAAGGTCAGCATCCAAAATTGGAATGTAAAATCAAAATTTTTGATCTGGGGAACCGGACATGATTGTTTCCATTCATGGTGATAGTAGCATGTCACTTTCAGTTATCAACCACTGGCAAATTTACTAAGAGACAAATCAGTCTATGTTTCTCTGGAAAAAAAAGGGTTATATATCAGCATTTTAAATAATTTTTGCAGAATGTGAATATATGGTAGAGGTTATAAATAATTTCTTCGAAACACATGTTGACAAACAAACACACAAGAAATCGTAATTCAATACATGCAAAAAATCTGCTGACATTGACAACAAGCAGCAAAAAATCAAGTAGTACCTAAGATGAGTGAAACATTAATACTGAGCTCAACAATTGTAGAGAACGTTAACGTCGGACTAAGAGATGAACCAGAAACTTTCAATGAGTTTCCACAATATTCTATAGTTTACAGAATGAAATCGCACTAATATGTACTGCTTTAACCAATTCGCAATAGAGTTCAGTTGACTATATTCGGAGTCACCAGCCAAAAAAAAAAAAGAAAAAGAAGCTATCTATAGGTTGCACTAGTTAGAACCCATTTCTCTGCAACGTTTCCTCGCAAATTCTCTTAATCAGCTCATTAAGATGATTTTTCCTAATGATGGGTTTCGCAAGGTGATTTAATTTACAGAAATTTAAACTCTAACAACATCACAAGAAGACGACAAATCAAAAAACCCCAACTCAAAAAGTGTTGAGGAGTTCTCACAACGCGATCCGCGGTCCCGGCTACGCCGTCAAGAACCCTAATCTTCGCTCTCGTCTCCTCGCAGATCTTCTTGATAAGCTCCCCCTTCTTCCCGATGATGCTCCCCACTTTCGCCACCGGCACGATCAAGCGGAACACGTTGTCCCCCGGCCACCCCGGCCACTTCTTGATCTCCCCTCCCCCC